CGAGGTCGGCCTCGAGCCGCGCCTCCTCGGCCGCCAGCGCGTGCCGCTCCTCGTGCGACGCGAGGATCACCTCCACCGCCGACGCCGACGACGCGCGCGCCTCCTGCGCCACGAGCAGGATCGAGAGGCCGGCCGGGATGTTTGCGAGCGCGCGGTTGGCGATGTGCGCGAGGAGGGTGGACTTGCCCCTGCCGTTCGGGCCGAGGAAGCCGTACTTGCGCCCCTTCTTGAGCGAGAGCCGCGCGTTGGTGAAGAGCTCGACGCTCCCCGCGCGGATCGAGAAGGACGGGATCTCGAGGCCGTCGCCGAGCGACGACGCGCTCTGCACCACGCGGCTGCCTCCGTCGGAGGTCGCCACAAACTGCGAGCCGATCGCGCCGCCGCTCGAGCCCTCGTCACCATCCGCACTGGGCGCGGCGACGGCGGCGTACTCCTTCCACCGCTCCTCGGCCGCCTCGAGCTTCTTGAGCTGGCGCTTGTCCTTGCCGCTCAGCTTGCCGCCCTCCTTCGCCTTGAGCCGGAGCGTTGCGAGCTCGGCCTGAAGCGCGGCGAGCTTCGAGGCGTCCTCGTCCTCGTCCTCGCTCATGGGAGCGAACTTCGAGCGAGCCTCCCGCGTTCGGCGCGAAGCCACGGAAGTGTGTGCGCCGAGGGTTGGCGCGAGGGTGGGGGCGGCAGGCGGGTTTATACGCGAAGGGTTGGATTCGGGATGACTTTTTCTGTACTTGAGCACTTGAGCACTGGATAGGGTCGGTTCCGCATGGTACGGGACCCCTCGATCGTCTCGCCCACCCTCACTGGTGTGTTCATTGGGGGGGGTCATAACAAACACGGTACAGGATCGAGGTGCACGCTGCCAAAGCAGTGTCGTCCCCTCTCTCCCCGACGCGCGACGGCGATGGCGGTGTGACCGAGGGTGTGTACTTGTTACGTGAAAACCCGCTGGGACTCGGACGCCAGCACACACGGCTTGGTGTGGTATCGTCACGACCAAAACATGCAGTGAAAGAGAGAGCGCTCACTGCTGGCGTACTTCCCGGGAAACAGTGTCGCCCCCGGTACACAGCGCGCTGCGGGCTGTCCACACTGCTCAATGGTGCCTAGGTAGCGGAGAGCGAGCAGGGCGTGGGGCGCTGCCCTCACTCATGCCCGGACCTTCTCGAGCTCCACATCGCGCGCCGCCACCGTCCCCTTCAGCTCCGCCACCTGGTCGAGCGCGTCGCCGAGCAGCCCCTTTGCCACGCCCAGGTCGCGCAGCTGCTCCACGCCGCCGCTCGCCCGCACCTCGGCGGCGTTGTCGGCCACGTAGCGGCGGCACTGCGCGAGGAGCCACCCGTCGCCCGTCGCGTGCGCCGCCTCGAGCAGCGGCACGGCGCTCGCCGGCCCGACGCTCTCCAACAGCGCCTGCGCGCAGAGCAGCTCGAGGCGCGGCACCTGGTACATCTGCGCCAGCTGCCGCAGGTCGAGCGCGCGCTGCGCTCTGCCGCCCTCCTCCTCGCCGAGGTCGAGCTGGTCGGTGAAGAGGTAGCGGACGAGGGCGGTGAAGGTGGCGAGGTCCGTATTGGGCACCGTGACCTGCTCGGCGGCCGCTGCGAGAGACAGCGACGGGAGAGACATCCTCGCCGCACCAGAAGCAGGTCTTGGCGCCCGACTTGCCCGACCGCTTCGCCTCCTCGGCCGCCCGCTGGGCCTCCGCCGCAGCCGCCTCCGCCTTGGTGACGCGCTTGGCGAGCTCGGCCAGCTCCTTCTTGAACGACTCGACTGACCTCTCATGCTCGCGGTAGACGTCGTCGCGAAGGATGCGGTCGAGCGGCAGCTCCGGCAGGCCGCGCCCCGGGTACTTGCGGAAAAATCGCTCGATGTAGGTGAAGAACTGCTTGTGATGTCGCCCAGTCCAGACGAGAACTCGAGGATGAGTGAGGCCTCGGCCAGCATATCCCTCTCCCGGTAGTCTTTGCCCAGATTGCGGAGATGCTGGACGACCACGCTCCGCTCGCCAGATTTGAGGGCATGGTGGAGGCTGCCCGGGTCGTCTTTGGCCTGTCGCACGCACTTGACTGTCGACGGGTTCCGGCCGTAGATTGCGCCCTCGAAGACCGATCCCCCGCTCGCCAGGTCCTTGTCTGTGACTACGTACCCGGTGAGGAGGGAGACGCTAAGTGCGAGCGCGCCTGCCGAGCTGAGATTCTGCTTGGTCAGCTCGGCGACCTGTACCTCGGTCAGGGCGGACTCCTCCGCTGCCGCCGGCGCCGACGCGACGCGCACCGGCGGGGCGCTCGCCGATCGGGCCACCTGCAGGGTGCCTCCAGCCTGGGCGGCCCCAAGCCACCACGCTCGGAGGGTTGCCTGCAGATGGGGCGGCAGCGTGTCCCTGCCTACGGCTCTCGCAAAGTACGGCGAGAAGACGTCGACTATGCTCGCGTCGCCGAGCATGTTCTCCTGCAAATGCGCGGCGCTCGTCGCGTCACCAACCATAGCCTCGGCGACAACAGCGAGCTGTTCGTCTCCAAATGCTGTGACAAGGGACTTCCCGCCCCGCTTTGCCTCGAGGATCTCGAAGATGCGCGCGACCTCCGTCTCAGCCCCCGCGGCCACCCCGCCGTCCCCGGACGGCGAAACCTCTGCCAGAACCATGCCGGAAGCGCTGCCCGACGGGCCGCCCGCCTCTCCTGGCGACGGCGTGGCCCTGAGCGGCGCTGCTGCAGCCCTGAGCGCAGCCGGCACGTGCGGTGTGGATATGGCAGGATCGTCCCGGATGCTCAAAGAGAGGCTGATACCGGTACGACAGAAGCAAGACAGGCCGTGTGGGGTGTGGGTGTCACGAGGACAGACGTCCACGAAGACGGTGGACGGACGCAAACTCCTTATCCAATTCACACTCACGGCTGTCCTACTGGTCATATAGAAAGTCGGCCGTCCGCGAGCCCCCAGCTCGCCGACGGCGAGAGAGATGCCACGAGGGGTCGCGGTGGCGTCCATCGCCAGGCTCCCTAGCTCAACCGACGACCCTTCGGGATCGACGGCCGATCGTCATACGTCTGCACGCGGCCGGCCGGGCGAGAGGCTTGACACGATCCGACCCTGCGACCCTGACGCTGCTGCTCTAGCTATCAGACATGCGCTGCTGACTGCTGCCACAATGTGCGACCGGTGCTGGCCCACTTGGCGGCCTTCCCGGTCAGTGGTGAGGCGCAGTTCAGAGCTGTCGATGGCGCGATGCAGCACTGGTCCCACATTGGTGACACGAGACCACCACGTTTGCCAGTCCAAGAGAGAGGCACCGGCGCTGTCGTGAGAAGGTGCATGGCCCCTCTTGACTGCCCATGCGCGCGAGGCTGTGTAGGCATAGCCTCGAGAGTGCCAGCAGCCCATCCGAGGCGACGCGCATTGCGTCAGAACACAGAAGGCAGAAGCGTGCACGCGCTGGAAGGACACCTTCCTACTGGCCGTACGATCAGGTCGTCACTGAATGCTGGATACTAAGGCCGCGAGCTATGCAGGTGGTCAATTGTGCAGCAGGGCACGGTCAGCAGCGCCGACAGAGGCTGCTGTCGCAAGGCGGAAGGCGTGATAGCATGGTCGCAATATGTACCCAATACGCGAAATTCTGATGAAAACAAGTAGAAAATCGCGCAAAAAATGCGAAAAAAATCGGCGCCTGCGGCGGGCCGTGGGACCCCCCCCCCCCCCCGCATGGGTACCCCCTAGGGGCCCCGCCTCCCCCCAGTGCCCAGAGCGACCCCCGTGGGGGTTCACGGGAATGACCCCCCCCCCCCCCCCAGTCAGACAGACCTCAGACGCCCGACCGTCTCCTCGATACTGTAGCCTACGCACACCGTCTCCTCGATACTGTAGTTCACTCTCCGCCGCGCGCCTCGATCTTCTTGGGCAGTAGCTGGTTCGACAAGTCCCCCCCGTGGCCTAGGCAGCCATATTCACCCTTGCCCCAGCTCCAGACAGCGCCGTCGGCAGTGATGGCGAGGCTGTGGTACATTCCAGCCGACACAGCGACGACGCGCTGGCCAGCAAAGGCCTCGACCTTCTTGGGCAGCAGCTGGTGCTGCTCGTCGCCGTGGCCCAGCTGGCCCCCGCCTCCATTGCCCCAGCTCCAGACACTGCCGTCGGCGGTGAGGGCGAGGCTGTGAAAGTATCCAGCCGACACAGCGACGACGCGCTGGCCAGCAAAGGCCTCGACCTTCTTGGGCAGCAGCTGGTGCTGCTCGTCGCCGTGGCCTAGTCGGCCTTCGCCTCCATAGCCCCAGCTCCAGACGAAGCCGTCGGCGGTGAGGGCGAGGCTGTGGCTGCTTCCAGCCGACACGGCGACGACGCGCTGGCCAGCAAAGGCCTCGACCTTCTTGGGCAGCAGCTGCCGCTGCTCGTCGCCGTGGCCCAGCTGGCCCCCGCCTCCATTGCCCCAGCTCCAGACACTGCCGTCGGCGGTGAGGGCGAGGCAGTGGAAGAGTCCAGCCGAAACAGCGACGACGCGCCACCCAGCAAAGGCCTCGACCTTCTTGGGCAGCAGCTGGCGCTGCTCGTGGCCGTGGCCCAGCTGGCCAGAGTTGCCGCAGCCCCAGCTCCAGACAGCCCCGTCGGCGGTGATGGCGATGCTGTGGCTCTGTCCAGCCGACACAGCGACGACGCGCTGGCCAGCCAACGACTCGATCTTCTTCGGCAGCGGCTGGGCCTGCCAGTGGCCGTGGCCTAGCTGGCCGTTGCCTCCAAAGCCCCAGCTCCAGACACTGCCGCCGGCCGTGAGGGCGAGGCTGTGCCCGCCTCCAGCCGCCACGCTCCCAACGTGCTCTCCCAGCGGGGAGGGGAGGCGGGTCGGCGTGTTGAGCCGCGTCACGCCCTCGCCGTGCCCGAGCAGCCCTGGAGAGTAGGACGGCGCTGAGCCGCACGACGAGAGCCGCCCCTCGCCGTCGATGAAGAGGCTGTGCCGAAAGCCTGCCGCCCTCGCCGGCGGGTTGGACTCGCGCAGCAGCGCCGACAAGCACAGCCACCGCACGGCGCAGCCCTCGCCCTCTGGCTGCGCCGGCAGCTCGTGGCCGCGCTCTTGCGCCCGCAAGCGGATGCCCTCCACCGCGAGTGAAGTGTGGAAGAGCAGCGAGACGGCCGCGACGCGAGCGATGTCGACGGGGTCGCAGCGAGAGACGACGCGCAAGAGGAGGTCCGTGGGGAGATCGAGCAGGCGGGCGGGCGGCGGCGTGCTGGGCGAGGGAGCGGCGGCGGCGGTTTTGGCGAGGCGGCGCGAGCGGCGGCGCGGTGGGGTGGACATCGCGAGAAAAAGAATTTAAACAAAACAACTCTCTCACAGCAGACAGGCTCGACACAGGTGCGAACTGGCGCGTGCTAGTACTATCACCGGCACACCACCGGAGCCGCCTAAGCGACTCCGTTAAGAACGGCAATGCACTTAGCTCCGTGCACAATGCCGCTGTCCCCGCACGCTAGCTCGTTCACCGTCTGCCACGCCACGGCGGTGTGGAGAACGACAGACAAGCGCTGCATCTGCAGCCCGTGCCAGTTCTTGGTGGTCCATGTGACCTCATCGAGGTGCTGAGCGTGCGAAAGTTTGTTACTCAGCTGGTCCGCCGCCTGCCGAAGAATTCTGCGGACGCCGTCCCCGAAGCCGCCGAACGTCTCGAAGTCGAGCAAACGCAGGTCGCAATTCTTCTCCCGCGCGAACCGGTATTCGCCCTTCTCGTAGCGGGCCGTCACAGGTGCCCCCGCCTCCGCCTCCCCCTCACTCTCCCCCTCCTCCTCTTCCGCCGCCGCCGCCTCCGCCTCTGCATCCTCCGCCTCCCTCCCCCCCTCCCCCCCCCCTCCCGGTCGCGGCCATGCAGCATGCCCTAACACTAAGTCGAGCAGCGCCCGCTCGGTGTTGCCGAAGGCGACAAAAGCCCCCTTCCAGCCGAGCCGATCGCCACCCTTGCACGCAAGCGAGCTCGTCAGTTTCAAGTCGCCAACGAGGCGCACATGCCCTTTGCCGATGTTCGCCGCCGCCACGTCAGGTTGTTTTGGGTTACTGTAACTGAGGTGTGCAGTCGGCTCCATCTCGATGAGCATGCCCCACGCCGAGCGAAGGGTCTTGACGAGTCGTTTGAGCAGGTATTTGTGTCGTGTCGCGTGCTTCGCACGCGGGTTGACCATTGCGGCATCGCCGAGTTCTTCGTGCGGCTTGCCGTTTGGCGCCTTCTTGCCCGCCTCCACCGCCTGGCAGGCAACATCGAGCGGGAGGCCGAGGCGGCGCTGAACTGTCATGCGCATCGCCCACGTCTCCATCTTCATATCATCCCGCATGGGGATCGCATTCAGGAAGGCGCCAGCCCCCTCCTGGCTGACTGCGACGAACCGAATCGCCTCGCGCCAGCACTTGTGGTTCTTGCACCTGCCAGTCTTGTAGCGGCCGCCCTGCCGGGATGCCTCGCTGACGAAGGCGTCGGCGAGGGCGAGCCAGTTGCGATGGTGTACGCCGACGGTGTACCGCCGCTGCGCCTGCTGTAAGAACTCGCTGGTAGACGAGAACTCCGAAAGATCCAGCAGCTCCGCCGCCGGCGTAAGTTTGGGCGGGTGGTAGCGGCGCCGTGGCACCGCCTTGGTCTCCTGGAAGGGCCCGACGACGTCTTGGTATAGCGTGCGCCCGTCCCACTCGCGCCACGTCTTGCCGACCGCGTCGCGAACGGCGCGGAGGCGTTTGTGAGCCTCCCGAAGCTCGTCGAAGCGCTCTCCCGGCGCGAGGGCCACATCGAGGTCGCGGAATGGCTCGTGCAGCTCGCGTATCGGCCGCGTGACGAGGGCCCACGTGCCGACCCACGCTGCCTCACGGATGTCCATGGCACTGGTCAGGCCCATACCGCCCATCCTGACCGGGAGTCGGGCCTGCTGAACAGCGACCCGCCACCGTGGGCTGTTGCGTCCGACCCGCGCGCCACCCACGAGGGTGTAGAGCGCCTCCTCCATCAGGCGGTCGTGCTCGCGCGCGGCGTCCTGGGTCACCGACGGCGGCATAGTGCGAAGGAAGAAGGTGAGCGTGGTGTTGCTGCAGAAGCGGAGGAGCACCTGGGCGAGCTGCTGCGCGGTGTGGATCGTTTTGGTGTCGCGCAGCGCCACGATGCCCGAGAGCGGCTCCAGCGCCTTGCGGACGCGCTTGACGAGTTTGTCACGGCACCACGCCTTGTCCCCGAGGTACGCCCCGAGCACGCGAATACCGCGAAGGACGCCGTCTGCGGAGTCCGGCGTGCCCTTGACATCCGTGCGGTTGCGCACCGCGTCGAGCGAGCGCGGGTCGGGGGCCCACATGCACCGCTTGGACTTGTTGCTCTCGACGCCACTCCAGAGTTGAGCAAGGTCGTCGCCCTCGAGCATCGCCTCGAGAGCCGCCCTCGGCGCGTCCGCGACGTAGGTATCGTCTAAGTACGCGCAAATTAGGGCGGACGGGTTGCGCACCTGCATCTCGAGCAGGGTCCAATGATAGCCGACGGCGAAGAGGAAGGGCCCGAGAGGATCGCCCTGCGCGCAGCCCTCGGTCGACATGAAGGTGTCGCCCGAGCTGCACCGCGCCTCCGCGTTGAAGAGAAAGAGGCGGCGCTGCTCGCTATACCACAGCGCGACGGTCGGGATGAGCTCCGGGAACCACCGCCGCAGGCCCGCAAAGATGGCCTTGCGAGAGATGCAGTTGAAGCCGTTGCGCTTGTCGTCCGAGGCGATCGCGTGGCCGGGGTTGCGCCGCAGATGCTCCTGCAGCAGCTGGATCGCCACCTCGGCTCCGCCAGCGAGTCCCACGCCGACCTGCAGGGGGATGTTGCACGCCTTGACGCGCGCCTCCGCCTCCTCCGCCGACATGCCGAGCCCGCCGTCCTCGGTGGGGCGGAGGCAGATCTCGCGCATGCCGTCGCGGACCGTGCGTCTCATGTCGGGCGTGCCGCCGGTGAAGAGGTCGCACATGTCGGCGCTGCGATGCTTCATGAGCACGCGGTTGGCGAGGCGGCGGATCGCGGCGGGAATGCCGATGGGACGGGTGCCGGTGAGGTTGCCGTCGTCGTCTCTCTTCTCGATGCCGAGGAGGTTGAGGTCGCCCCAAATCTTTGTGGCCGACTCGTGCACCTCGCCGCGGTTGATGGAGGCGACGATGTCGAAGACGGAGGCGCGCCGGGAGAAGCGCCGGGAGAAGGAGGGAGAGCTCGCGCTTAAGACCCCCGACGCCCCTCTGCCGCTTCGCAGGCTGCCACCTTCAAGCTTCACGGCTCCAAGCTCGTCGTCGACGGCTCCTTCATCACCGAGGTACACATCGTCGCCCGGAAACTCTCCCCGCCCGCCTTGGCCAACGCCTCCTTCTTTGCCTGCGAGCTGAACGAGTTCAACACGGGCTGGAAGTTCATCAACGGAACGTGCTCAAGCCGATCGATCACGCTCGGCCTCTCCAGTCGCCCCTTGACGTGCGGCCACCTCCGCATCGAGACCAAGTTCTCCAGCGCTAGCTTCAAGTTCCGTGACGACTGGAGCGTGGTCGTCCGGGGCAACCACGTCTACGACCGCGTGAAAGGGCCGACGCACCGCCTCGACCTGACGCTCAAGGAGCTCAGCGGTAGCGCCGCCGCGCGTGCCCTTCCACATGGCTTGGTCGGCCAGTCCTTCGCATCGAGCAAGCCACGAGAGGGCAAGGTTGACCACTACCCGCGCGCGGGACGGTATGCCACCAGCGCTATGGCCGAGGGCGCGATTGAGGGAGTTGCGAGCATGTACGAGATGCCGTCGCCCTTCGAAACCCGATTCGCCTTCTCGCGCTTCGACGCCGCCGAGGTCCCCGTTCCCTCTCGGTGGCCACTCGCCTCGTATGCCTCGCAAGCGGTGCCGGGAAGCGAAAGAGTGGCAACGTCCACGGAGCGCGCCGAAGGTGATTGATATGGTGATGCGCACCTCCGCATATAAAGTACAACATAAAGCGTGTGTCTGCAGTCCCCAGTCCACGGCTGGGGGGAGAAACGACACAACGAGATCCAAATCTCGAGGATTGCATTGCGATTAGCGTGTGTATACGTCAATACGGTAGAGAGTATATACGGTGTTGTAGTACGGCGTAGAGTTTACACGCTCCCTTTTCTGATTTCTCTAACCAAGACGAGTAATAAACCCAGCGGCCGCGGGGCCTGAAGCGGGCGTGAGCCGTGACCGCCGTGCTAGCTTGTAGCTACGTACTCAGCGGTCTCTCCTCTGCGTGCGGAGCACAATCGGGCGCTCTTAAGCCGGCGCGGTGAGCACGTTAGGGCAAACGCCGTCGAGCTCCTCGATGGACCGGAGGGAGAGGCTGCCGTCGGTGGCGACGCTGAAGCTGGCCACGTTCTGGCTGTCCTGGTGAGGCAAGGCAGGGTAAGGTCAACGCCTCCGCACACACAAGGTCTCCTCGTCCACAGACAGGAGCCCGGCGGCGTTGGACGAGCGGCATCGGACGAGCAAGGCCCAGCCCGCGCGGGTGAGGTGTAGGTGTGTGTGTGTGCTGGCGGTCCTGGTTCCCCAAACGCGGAGAGGAGGGGAGGCGGGCGGGGCGCCAGGAGACACGAGCACTCTCGGGTCATCTCGATCTCGGGTGATCTCGATCTCGGGCGGTCTTGGGCGATCTCGCTCCACCTGGTTGCCCACGAGGAGGAGCGGGCCGCCGGGCGACGCGTAGTCGAGCACAAAACTGCGCGGGCAGACGCCGCCGCACGGCACGCGCTGCTTGAAAGCGAGCTCGCCTGACGAGATTGCCCGAGATCGCCCGAGATCGCCCGAGGTTGTCCGAGGTTGTCCGAGATTCGCCGAGGGGGGCTGCTTGCGGGCGAGGCTCGCCCGTGGCGGTGTCGATGTCGAAGGCGACGACGGCGCCGTCGGTGCGCGTCGTTGCGTACAGGCACCGCCTGGGCAAGTTCGGGGGGGGGCATTCAGGAAGGTTCTAGTTCTACAAGGTAGCATGTGCTCATCTCGGCTACCTCTCGGCTACGTCTCGGCTCCCTCTCGGCTCCCTCTCGGCTCCCTCTCGCCCGTCCGCAGAAACGAGCACATGTGACCCGCCGGAGTGGTGGGCGCGGCACGGCGAGACGCCTAGAACCTTCCTAGAGCCTTCCTAGAGCCTTCCTAGAGCCTTCCTCGGAGTGGTGGGCACGGCCACGGCGAAACGCCGTCGGGGAGGGTGTAGTAAGAGCCTGTTCACAGCGACACCGCCGTGAAGAGACGCCGTCCAGCCGCTCACGCGACGGGATGGGCGCGTGGCGACGAGCCGAACGGAGTCAGCCGTCCTTGCTCTGCGTCCCAGCGGCAGCCGACGATGTTGCCTAGGACGGAATCGGACGGAATCAGGACGGAATCCCCTCGGCTCCTCTCCGCTCCTCTCGGCTCCTCGCGGCTCCTCGCGGCTCCTCTCGGCTCCTCTCGGCTCCCCTCGGCTCATCTCGCCTCCTCTCGCCTCATCTCGCCTCATCTCGGCTCATCTCGGCTCATCTCGGCTCATCTCGGCTCATCTCGCCGTCGAGCTCGCAGAGGACGTAGACCCAGGGCCTGGTCGGGTGGAAGTCGAGGTGGCGAGGGCCACTCGCCTTGCGGACGTGTCGCGGACGTGTCTCCTTCTCTCCTCTTCTCTCCTCTCCTCTTCTCTCCTCTTCTCTTCTCTCCTCTCCTCTCCTCTCCTCTCCTCTCCTCTTCTCTCCTCTTCTCTCCTCTTCTCTGCTCTCCTCTCCTCTCCTCTCCTCTCCTCTCCTCTCCTCTCCTCTCCTCTCCTCCCCTCCCTTCCCTTCTCTCGGCCCACCTCGGGCAGCAGCAAGTGCCGCTCGCTGTTGGCCGCGCCGGCGAGCGAACCGCGGGCCACGTCGAACGCGTACACCCACACCCTCGACGCGCCTGCACTCGTCAGTGATGGCCCATGCGGAGTGATGGTCCGCGGAGGTGTCGCAGTCACACGCCCTCGACGCGCCCAGGTCGCAGGCGAGCGCCCACGCGCCGCTGCCCGGGTCGAGCCGCACCTGCGGGGGTTGTGGCAAGCCTCTCGCCGCATGATCAGCCCTGCCCGTGTGCAGTGACCTCGCCAACGGCACCTGGTGAGGGTGGCAAGCTTCTTGCCGGTCAGCGAGCTGCGGGTTCAGCCTGACGACGTGGTGCTTCGAGTCGGTGGCCGCCTACAGGAAGGGTCCAGGAACGGTCTACGAAAGGTCTAGGAAAAGCCTCGTGGTGCTTCGAGTCGGTGGCTGCCCCGACGCTGCCGTCGGCGGCGATCGGCAGCACCGACAGCGTCGACGCGCTGTAGTTGGCACAGAGCGCCCACGCCCCGTCGGCAGATAAGCAAAAGTGCGCCGGGTTGCCGAGGGCGTCGGCGCTGCTAAACTCCTCGAGCATGCCATCAGCGGCTACCTTGTACGCGCGGAGCTTGCCGCTGCCCGCGGCGTACACGCAGCCATTGCTGGGATGCTTTTCCATCCAGCCGACATGGTGTTTCAGCTCCGAGAAGCCCACCCTCTCGCCCGCCCGGTAGACCATGACGCCCTTCTTCTCCACGGCGGGCGGCGGCAGCTTGCCGTACGCCGGGGAGTCCGACACCTTGACCTGGGCTGCGGGCGATGAGCCGACGTAGCTGTACATCTTCGCTCCCGCCGACGATGTGTCCGGCGCAACCGCGCTGAATGGCTCGAATAAAAGAAAATAACCGGTGGGAAACGCAAAAATCCTGCTGAGCTCATCCCTGCATCGTAATGTCCGCTTGTGTTCGTGTCGTACGCGCTTTCTCTTCCGAACACGCCCCCCCCCCCCCCCCCCCCCCCGGCGGCAGCGGCGGCAAGCAACTCCAGCAAGGGCGACATACCCCGAAACGTTTCGACGGTGATCTAAATCATCGTGTGAACAGGAGCCCCACTCTCAAATTTTCTCTTCGCCTGCGGCGCGCCGCACTTGTCATTTTCCCCAAGTCTGCGGTGTTCTGGGCGGTAGTGTGGATGGAGGTGTGTGCGTCTTCCTGTCATCCCAAGTGGTGGCAGACTGCGGACAGACTGCGGACTTGCGACATCGGTCCAGCGCTTCCTTAACCTTATTGTCATTTTACCTAAAAATTCCTAGATAGATCCCGGCTGACCTGGGGAAGCTAAAAAGAAACCACGGTGAGGTGTGGGAGGGGTGGGTGGAAAGGCTTAGAAACGGCGGCGTGCCGCGGAGCACTTGGAGTACTTGGAGTGCAGTCATTAGCCTCCCTTCCAGGGCCGGGGAGCTAAGAAGCGCACCCAGCGGGCCGGATGATCGGGATCGGGTTACGGGCTAGAGCCCTAGCCCCTAGGGGGGGTGCGCGGTCGCAGGGCAAGGGCCGTAAAAGTAAACACGGGTCTCCGAGGGTTGGCCCTGCGCTTTGGGTTTCCCCTAGCCCCTAGGGGGGCTACGCGACCATCGAGGTCGACCTAAAGCACGAGAAGGCCGCGGGCGACCGCGAGTCGGTTCAGGCCGCGGAGCGCTCGTGGGCCGACAAAGCTGATGAGATCGAAGAGACCAAGCTGCGCGTGCCGCTGGAAGAGGGCACGCAGCGTCGTGCCTGCAGTCTTCTCGACGTGGTGGAAGAAGACGACCGAGCAATTCGGCAGCGGCGCGCCGAGCATTGGGTGTGCGGCGCCACTACACTTCAGCGATCAGTGGAGTGGTGTTGTCAGCGTTCTGCGACAGCAGCGTGTCAGCGTTCCTGCGGCTGGTTCCTGCCGCAGCAAGTTGTGCTTGAGGCACTTTTGGCTCCAAAAACACACACCACCGACCCCAGACGAATCACAGACGATACTATCTTTCCCCCTCTCTTCACTCATCTCGTCTCTCACAAAAATCCCCCCGCCCGTCGCGACCATCTCGTTTTCTTTTAGTTTTCGACAAACAATCTACAGTTCTACACACAGGTGGGCGGGTGCTAGTACCGGCCGCCTGGGGAATATTTCGGGTTGACCGTGACATGACGCCTCGATTGCAATGGCCTCTCGCCCTTGTCTTGGCTTGCCAGCGTCCCGGACTTGTTCTTGGCTTCGGCCTGCGTCCCGCGGCATGATCTCACCAGGCTCGAGGCACTGGGCCGTCTCTGCGCTGCTCGCCTACGCCTCTCTCGTCCCAAAAGCGAGCGCACAGCCATTTCCGCCGCCGCCGCCGCCGCCGCCACCGTCACTGCCACTGTCGCTGCCGTCACTGCCGTCGCCGCTGTCGCCGCCGTCTCCGCCCTCGTACCCGCTCGCATACTACACCGTCACCACGACGCCGGGATCGTACCCTAGAGAGGTGAGCTGGGACCTCCGCTGCGGCGGTGCGGTCGTGCTCTCGTCGGCGCCCTACACCGGCTCAGACTTCCAGACCGAGTACGGCGTCTCCCTCTCGCCCGGCGTCGAGTGCGAGCTCGTCATGAAGGACTCGTACGGCGACGGCTGGAACGACGCCACTTGGTCGGGCCTCGGGCAGGAGGGCCTCACCTTTGCCTCTGGGTCCGAGGAGAGGAAGTCTTTTGTGGTGCCGTTTGCGCCGCCCTCCCCGCCGCCCTCCCCGCCGGCGCCCCCCCCGCCGCCCTCGCCGTCGACGCCACCGCCCTCACCGCCGTCACCGCCCGCCTCGCCGCCGCCGCCACCTATCCACTGGGAACCAACAGTCGACCTTCCGGGGTATCAGTGGCAGACCGATTGTGCGCTCGGTGCGATGGTCTCGAGCCCCGGAGGCAGCCACGCTGCCGAGTGCTTTGGCCTATGGGCCACATCTACAGGCGGCTGTCAGTGCGAGTATTCCAATCTGACCGAGACGCTCGATACCTTTCAGCAGTATGGTCGCATGGGCCTGAAGTATGAGGGCCCATGCAACTGCGGCCATCTCTATTATACGCCAGTGGCGAGAATTCGCTGGCGCTCGTACCTCACCGGAGAGTACACGTGTACGAGGGCAGTATGGGACCCGACTGTGGAGACCTGGGGACACTGGCTGGTGGGTCACGACTGCGGAGACTATGCGCCCTTTGACCCAGCGTCTTACTCCGTGTGGATACTCTTCATGCGCTTGGACCCGCCCTCACTGCCACCGCCGCCGCCGCCTCCCTCCGCATCGCCGTCGCCGCCGCCTCCCTCCGCATCACCGTCGCCGCCGCCTCCGTCCCCACCGCCCTCGTCGCCACCACCTTCCCCGCCCCCCTCGCCTCCGCCCCCCTCGCCTCCGCCGCCCTCGCCGCCGCCGCTGCCGCCGCCGCCCTCGCCGCCGCCCCCCTTGCCGCCGCCCCCCTCGCCGCCGCCGCCCGGCCCGCCACCGCCCTCGCCACCGCCTCCCAGCCCGCCGACCCCTTCGCCGACGCCGCCCAGCCCGCCGCCGTCCTCGCCGCCGGCACCCAGTCCGCCACCCCCGAGCCCGCCGACGCCCTCGGCGCCGCCCCCGAGA